CTTCCTCTTTTGGAAAGCCCTGCTATACATGTTCCTTGCCCTAGAAACAGCCCTCCGGTGAACTCACCCTTGGGAGAATCCTTAAGACACACCTTCACTTTCTCTCAGGAGCCTTCCTAAGAAACATCACAGGTAGCCAGTATACTTACCCCAGTCCGCTGTGGCATGTGGGCCTCTAGTGTTTTAAGGTTCTAGGCAACTCACTCCCTCCCAGGAGACCCTGACTTCCTTCTCTCAAGATGCACAAAAGCTCATCAAACCAATATTTGAAAAATCCCTTTTCAAAGAGGCACAGGCAGCCTTCTGGCCCTACGATGTTAATATGCAGGGTTAGGCAGCCTGGCAAGTGCATTGGGGCTCCCGCTAAAGGATCATCTGGTTTCCATAGCAACAGCCCTTCCTTTCCATGGAGGATTCCATCATCTCTCCTGCCCACTCACAGTTTCCAGAATGAATTGATTTTTGTGACTATAGGTGTTTGTCCTTGATCCTGCAAAGAGAAAAGATATATTCATTTAAAATAAACACCTCCCCCCCATACTGACTGCTGCTAGAATACTGCATTGCATCAGCTGGTCTTCCTTTTCGTTTTAAAATCCCTTATCCTTTTTCCATTTTGCTCCATTCTCTAGCTTTATCCATCATTTTGGGAATTAGGTTTCTCTGACAGAAAACAAACAGATGGCAACTCCATCAGCCTAAAACTGGCTGTGATGGGGCTATAAATTTAAGTGTTCACAAGGTTCTCTGAAGGCCTGGGCCTGCACAGCATGGGTGGCTGACCTGTGGGTTATGATTGGAGGGGCAAGAATAAGGCTCTCTACCCCCAGATGGCTCCCCACACAGAGTCACAGGCACTGAAACGTTGCCATTCGAGGTTTGTTTCCTCAGGTTAGGTGTTGCTCTCCCAGCAATATTCTCTGAAATTGCAAACACTCCTGGGAAGAGTAATATATTAAGTTACTAATGCTGAAAGAACTTGGGGAAGAGAGGAGGAGATGCGGAGGGAAGGATGTAAAAGGGGCTTTAAAGACCACCTTTGCTTCACAATGACATGTTCTGCAAGAGGGGCAGTGCAGGCCCTTATCACACACACACACACCAGTCTGCAGGATGCCTTCTGACAATTACAGTGCAGGGTGAATTCACCGAACAGGACTGTTCCCTGAAACACCTGCATACAATCCTGCTGGAAGAGCTCTGAATCAGCCCTGCAGTGACTAGAAACCCCTATCTCTGTCCCCAGTGCCATTTGTTTAACCCTACAGTTTCCACAGACTAAAGGTAGTTTTCCTTTGGTTAATGTGAAAAGCACCAAAAAGTTGCATTGCTTTGTTAAATAAAGTGGATTACAGTAAATAAGTTGACTTCTATGTTGTTTATTAATAATATTGCCCTCACTCCTCAAAATGTAGAAGAAATTTATTTTTCCCCGTCTTAAATTCTGCTACCACAATCCTAACAACCAAAATGTTACTCAGTTCCATTCCAATGGAGCACTCATTAAGGAATATTTAATGGGACATAATATGAACATAAAATTATATCTGTGCACTGTCTTCAAGTCTTTGAATCAGGCCTTCACCTATAGATGTTGGTTACCTATCAAGGAGTAACAGGTGATACTAAGTTTTACGTTGTAATAGCTGGGAACCACATCCTTGTCACTGACAGGAAACTGAGTATATTCATTCATCAGGGTTCTCTAGAGAAACAGAACTAATAGAATGTGTGTGTGTGTGTGAAAACATTTAGTTAAGGAATTGGCTCATGTGACGGTGGAGACTTGGGGAGTCTAAAATCTAATGAGGGAGTCTGGCATGCTGGAGACCCAGGGTAGAGTTGCAGTTCTAGTCCAAAGGCAATCTGCTGGAGAATTCTCTCTTGCTCTGGATGAGTTTGGCCTTTTATTTTATCAGGCCTTCAGCAGATTGGATGAGGCCCACAGATGTTATGGAAGGCAATCTGTACTCAAAGTCTATATATTTAAATGTAAATCTCATCCAAAAACACCCTCACAGAAACATCCAGAATATTTGATCAAATATCTGGACGCCATGCCCAGCCACGTTGACACAAAATTAACCATCACACTGGATCGCAAAGGGCTGTGTTCAGCAAGAGATGACCTTGGTCAGACCCTGCTCCCTACCCCCACACCTCATTGTTCTTCATCCTGGGTCCTGCCATCTCCATTTCATCACGTCTTCATCTTCTCTCCCCACATTTTGAGGTACCTTTCCTTCCTGACTCTATCCCTAGTGCCACCTCCTGCCCTGCCCCCAAAAGCCCTCCAGCCTTTATAAAATGATATTAGTCTTTTACACTTTTTTTTTTTTTTTTTTGAGACAAGAGTCTCACTCTGTCACCCCAGGTAGAGTGCAGTGGTGTCATCATAGCTCACTACAACCTTAGACTCCTGGGCTCGAGTGATCCTCTTGCCTCAGCCTCCTGAGTAGCTTGGACTACAGGTACATGCCACCACACCAGGCTAATTTTTTTCTATTTTTGGTAGAGATGACGTCTGGCTCTTGTTCAGGCTGGTCTTGAACTCCTGACCTCAAGCAATCCTGCCTTGGCCTCCCAGAGTGCTAGGATTACAGGCGTGGGCCACTGCACCCAGCCTCATTTACACTTTAGGATAAATTTAAATCATTCTGTTAGCTGTCTTACTTATTTTCTCACTGTAAAAGGAAAGCATATTGAAAGGATTTCAGGGATCAATGAAGAGCTGAGGAAGGTATTTTTTTAGAAAGAGAAAGAAGTGACTGACAGAAATCAAGACAAAGGGGGACAACCAGATTTAGCAGAAGACAGAAATCAGGTAAACTCCAGGGATCAAGAAAACTAATGGTCAAGAAAACTTCAGGGTGTCATCATTGCAGTAAATGAGCTCTAGATATTTCTTTCTTCCTAGGACAGTCAAGATTGCAGTTGCTTGGGAGAGAGAGAGAACACCTGATTGATTGAACCTGAGTTCTGTGCTCACTCCTGAGCCAGAAGAGGGCACGGTACCTTGCCTGAGAATCCTTCCAAGGCTGCATGAACTGGGGAGCTTTTACCAGAAAAGGGGGGAGTGGGTCTTGGGCAGCAAGAATATTTGTTGCCTATCGACTATCACTGCAAGGATTGCTCAGAAAGTGATGCAGAATCAGCTCCACTCTGTTTCTAAGATGACCTTGAATGTCAGAGCAAGGCACAAATGGCATGCAGAGACATGTGGAATATCTGGAGCAATGTCTTAGAATCCTTCACCTCCTGCTGGATGCTAAGTGCCTTAAGAACAAGAGCTACATCTGCCTGCAATTTCTTTGGTAGACCCTGCAGGGCTGTGCACATGACTCTATTTAATTTTTACCGCTTGTAAGAAGATACAAAGGGCATCTTACCATGGATGGATATTCACACATGCTGATACTGGAAACTTTCCAGCAGGCATATCCTTCCAAGATGATAAACACTCCTCACTGTTGGAGACATTGAAGACATTTCTACCCGCAATGTCTAACTAGTAAAATAAGACAAACCAATCAGTGACATGGACACGTTTACATTATTCTTCAACTTGAAGAATAGTTCAACTTGAAGAAAAGTTCAAGAATAGTTCAAACAGTATCAGATCATTGAACTGAGAACCAGTGTCATCTTTTGGATCTGGTAATTATTTGGACAAAATCTCTTTGATTTATAGGTCCAAATTCAAAGTATAAAAAAATGTAAAATACAACTGTTAAGTTTATCTGGTTTTACCTCTCACTTTACAAATAAGGAAACGGGGGCTCAGACAGGTGAAGGGACAGGGCAGGTGAGTAGCAGACAAGGATGAGGACAAGAACCTAAGCTTCCTGACTATCAATCCATTTTAAGAATTCCTGCAGCTTCTGCACGTTAATAGATCACAATACAACTAGTTTCCTATCTTTCCTGATAACCTCTCTGATCCACCCACAATTTAGTTAACATCTGATTTGGCCAACAAAGCACCTGGTTCTCAGGTTCAATGGGAGAGTTTATGAAACTGGCATGAATTTTTTCCTCTGCCTTGGCCCATCCTCAGTTAGTCTCTGGTTTTCTCAGTACTCAATTTTAAATCGCTTAAGCATGCCCACCTCTTCTTTCTTTCCTTTCCTCATGTTTGAAAACTATTTTTTCTACTTAACTGTTAGAAATGAAAGATAACAAATCCTATCATTCCTTACTGTCTTGTGCAAATATGAAGAAAAATGCTAGATAGCGGGGGTCAATAAAAGCATCAGAGAATCCACTGGGCAGAAACTTTCTTCTTGCAGGGCGCTTGAATTTAGCTATTCTGAGATTCCAGTGAAGAAAGGGTATTGTGGAGACATCGAGGTTAAAAAGGCCGAATTGAGGGCGTATTTTATTCAAGTTCCACCACATACATTGTCTAAAATGAAACAACACTGGGAAATGAAAAAGATCGTTAAAGATGAACTGCCTTTATAAAGATAAAGACTTAATAGTAAAATAAAATGTATACAAATAATCACAGTTCACTTTCACATCTGAAGCAAACATTAATTTTTGCTGGGAACACATAAACTACATAAAAATGATATGTTGACAATTTCCAGGAACTAGGAAAACAAGCATGTCTACACGTAAAAGCTTGAATCCAAGTAGAACTTGAATTCAGAACAAAACTCGGTACTGACCTTCTTGGGGGAAGGCCAGTCACCGCGCTATCTCATTTAAGTGAGTATGGAAGCTCAGACCAAAACAGCCATAAAAGGGCGAACGACAGCTAGCAAAGAAATATGTGGCTAAAAAGCTTCAAAGGCCTTGCTACAAATGCCGGCGCAAACGGCCGGGTGTGGTGGGACTCGCAGAGGGAGTCCGGTGGGAGACGCGGACAGACACGTACTCTTCAAGCTCCCGTGCAAAATGGCGCCGCCGCGCCGCCAGCCTCGCGCGTCCCCGGCGGCCGCCGACCCCGCGCGTGCCCCGCGGGGCGGGACGCCAGGGACGCGCGCGGCCTCAGAGCGGCTGCGCGCCTGCGCGAGGACGGGCGACGGGGATGCGCGCGGCGGGGGCGGGCTCTGCCGAGCGCTGAGCTGCAGCCGCGAAGCCGGACGTGTCCGCGAAGATGGCGGGCCGGGTGAGTGCCGGCCCGGGAGCTGAGGCTCGAGACCAGGGCGCGGGGCTCTCGGGCGCTGCGAGGCCCCGGCGGCCCCAGGGGAGGGGGAGTGAGTCTGGGCAGTCGGTGGGGCGCTGGAAGGGCGGGAGGCCAGAGCAGGGCTTGAGAGGAGAGGGGTGCGGTGGCAGGGGATTAGCCCTCCTCAGAAACTCCATCCCGCTCGAGGGGCGATGACCCCCGGGTTACCCGTGTCTGCTGCGCCTCCCTTCATCCTCCCTTCCCACCCCCTGGGGCTTGTTTCCCTCGTCCTCCAGGCAGCCTCAGGGTCGTGGCCGGTCGACCCCCTTCTCACGAGCTCTGGGGGTTTCTCCGCACCCCCTCGAGGGCGCTCATTAGGTGGCGCCGCCGGAATAACCGCGGGCAGTCCGTCTGCTGCATTCGGGCGAAGGGTATGGGAAGGATCCGCAGGAACCCGTGTCTGGTTCCTCTCGAATAAAAGGTCTTGTGAAAGATGAGGGGGTGCTAACGACTTTTAGTGTGAAACCCCTGCCATCTGGGGACCTGTCAACTGTTGGATCAGGCAAGAATGGCTTTCGCCTGGAGTGGGGATGGATTTGGGGTATTGCGTTTTGTTTTTATGAATGACAGTCTCTTCTTATGCGGCAGAATATGCTGTAGTTGTCAGGGTTTTAAATTTTACTTCCTCCTTTAGCCTTGAGGATCGCCGGGTGGGATGGGTTTGTCGAGGAGAGATAGGGCTGGTTCAGTGCTGTATTGCAGTGTACCTTGAGCTAAAAGCTCCTTGAGCAATGGGTCCTGCCTAGTGATCATACTGGTCATAAACCTGGGGACATTAACTGCGTCATTAGGGACTAAGGATGTGCTTGACCGATCCATTTATACCAGAATATTTGAATAAGTTTGCATGTATTTATGCATACATGCAAATACCCTATCCAAAAGGAATTGTAGGTCATGAGATAGTAGAGTTAGAAGAGACCTTAAAGGTCATTTAGTTCAGCCTCTTTCTCTTCCTTTTCCCCATATCCTCTTCTTTTATTTTAGACTAGTTCCTCCGCCTATACTTTAGATTCTATCTTTTCCTTCCTCAGGAACCCCTCTCCTAAATAACATACATACCTGTTCCTTCTTAACATGCTCAAGCTTCTCCTATGTTAAAACAAACCCTCCCTCCACCCCCACAGCTGTCACCTTCTCGCTTTCCACCTTACAGCAAGAAATTTTGATACAGTTGTCTATTGTTTCTCATTTGCTTACCACCCACTCACCCCTCTACCCATTGCAGTCTGATTTCTGGCCCTATCCGTTCCTGTTGAACCATGTCCCTAAACTTAATTGATATTTTTCAATCCTTGCCTTACCTGGTATCTCAGCAGCATTTGACGTTGTTGACCACTGCCTCATTAATGGAAAACACTCTTCCCATGGCTTCTGTGATGCTCCTGTTTTGACTCATTCCTCTCTTTTGCAGACTCATCCTCGATTACCCTGTTATTCAATGCTGGTATTCTTCAAAGGCCCTCTTCTCACTCTCTATTTTCTGCTCAGGCAATCTCTTCTAAGCCCATAACTACAACTATCTATATGCCAGTGATTTTTAATATTTTACCACCAGTCCAGACATGTCCTTCAAGTTCCAGATTAATATGTCAATCTGCCTGTTTAAAATCAAGGCTCTTCAAACTCAGCTTGTTCAAATCTGAACCTAGGATTTTAGCCCACCTAGTCTAGATGCTCCTTGACTTACAATATGGATACTTCCCGATAAACCCATTGTAAGTTGAAAATATGGTAAGCTGAAAATGCATCTAATATAGCAAACCTACTGAACATCATAGCTTAGTCTAGCCTACCTTAAACATGCTCAGAACACTTATATTAATATTAGCCTACAGTTGGGCAAAATCATCTCAAACAAGGCTTATAATAAAATGTTGAATGTCTCATGTAATTTATTGAATACTGTACTAAAAGTAAAAAACAGATTGGTCGTATGGGTACTCAAAGTACAGCTTCTACTGAATGCCTATCACTTTTGCACCATTGCAAAGTCGAAAAATGGTAAGCCAAAACCATTGTGACTCAGGGACCATCTGTACTTTCCCTGTTTCCTTTCTCACTGAATGGCACCACCATTCAGTTATATAGACTGGAAACCTAGGGTGGGAGGAGAGTGGGTCACCCTTTATACCTCTTTTTCATCTTGTCCTCTGCCCCCCAGCAAAATTCGTCATGGAGTTCTGTCTCCCCACCCCACACACACCAAAAAAGGTGTTTAATTAGGGCCAAATAATCTGGCTTGGAGGCATTGTTGCTTTAAACTATATATACCCAAATCACCCACTGCTCTAGTGACATGGGTTCTGTCATTTTAACCTAAAAATCTCTCCAATCATTTTTATCTCCTTTTCACAAACTACTGTCATTTCTGGTCTGGACTACTGCAGGAAACTCCCAAGTGGTCTCCTTATAGCATTCTGGCCCACCTCCAATCTATTCTCCACATTGATTGTTGCTTCGCATGCCCATTACTGCTTAAACCCCTCCTCAGCAGCATCTTATTACTTTTGGAAGAAGACCAAATACTTAACAAGGCCTTCAAGGCTCTCTCTGGTTCTGTCCCTGCTTCTCTCCACCCACTCTCTTACTCTGTGCTCAGATTATGTAATATATAAGCCTTTCAATTCCTTGAACCTACCGTAGTTTCTCGTAGCATAAGGTCTTTGTAAGTACCGTTTCCTTTGTAATGTTCTGCCTCCAACCATTTACCTCCTACTCAAATACCACTCATCTACTCGAGGGAAGCTGTTCTGAATCCACACTGTAAGTTAGGATCCTTTGTTGTATACTCTTGAAGAACTGTATTCCTTTCCTTGCAGGTTTATCTTTTTGTCATTTTGAATGTATTGGTGGTATTATTTGCTTCTACCACTAGACTTTACCTTCTGTGTTAGTTATTTACTTGTCATCTGTGTTTTGCATACCTCCCAGGACCTAGATGCTCAATATATTTTGTTGAAAATGAATATAATCTGTTTGAATACTTTGGTGATAGAGGGTACATTACCCTAAGCTAGCCCATTTTAACATCATTCAGCTCTGTTAGATCTTTTTTGTATGAAATTCCATGTAATGTTTACACGTAGATATTATTTCTCCTGGTTAAAGCTATATAGATCTGAACACATTTTTTCCCACTGGTAGCTTCTCAGATATGTGAAGACAGGTTACATATCTCCTCAGATTTTTCTATTTTGCAAGTTAAACATCCCCAATTCCTCATATATTCCATATTCCAAACCCATAATCATTTAGATTACCTTCCTCTTTAAATGCTCTGTTTTGTCAACTTTTTTCCTAAAATGTGCTCAGAATAGAACGTGGTAATCAGAGAAGAATTTACTTGAACTACTTAGTTCTCTTGGGCTGGACACTACCATTATTAATAAGGCTAAAATTTTATTAGCCTTTTTTGTGTAGTGCATCACACCCTTGGCTCATACTCAGCTTGTAGTCAGTTAACTCTCATGTACTTTTAAAATCAGCTCCCCCACCCCCTTTCGAGGTGTTCAATTGTTTTATTGAACCTAAGTTCAATTGTTAGTTGAACCTTACCCTTTTACAATTCATTTTTTGAGGTCAGGGCATGCCTGCTATTTGTTGAAGGTCTTCTTGATTCTTTTTTTTTTTTTTGAAGACAGAGTCTCGCTCTGTCACCAATGCCAGAGTGCTGTGGCGTCAGCCTAGCTCACAGCAACCTCAAACTCCTGAGCTCAAGCGATCCTCCTGCCTCAGCCTCCTGAGTGGCTGGGACTACAGGCACATGCCATGACGCTGCTAATTTTTTCTATTTTTGGTAGAGACGGGGTCTTGCTCTTGCTCAGGCTGGACTTGAACTCCTGACCTTGAGCGATCAGCCTCCCAAAGTGCTAGGATTACAGGTGTGAGCCACCGTGCCTGGCCTAGGTAGCTTTCAATTTTATTTTTTTCTGGAATGCACATTCTTGTACAATCATGGACTGCATAATGACATTTTGGTCAATCATGGACCACGAATATGATGATGGTCCCATTAAGAGTATAATGTCATATTTTTTACCATACCTTTTTTATGTTTAGGTATGTTTAGGTACACAAATACCATTGTGTTGCAATCACCCACAGTATTCAGTATAGTAATATGCTGTACAGATTTACAGCCTAGGAGCAATAGGCTACACCTGAGTGTATAGTAGGCTATAATATGTAGATTTGTGTAAGTATTAGGTTATTAAGTATGAAATGTCCGATTTCCTTAAGTACTAAGTTTGACAGCTAATATCTGTTACATTTCACTTTGACACTTCTTGTTTTATTTTTAATGTGAAGGTACACCCTTATTCTTTCAAACGCATATTTTGACTTGTGATTATCTTTCAAATTTTTTTAAAACAATTTTTGTACAACCATAGATAAGTCAAAAATTTGCATTATTTTCAAATATGAGTTCTGTCGTAAAACCAATACAACACAGACAGCTCAAAATATTAAAAAAGTGTTTAGAAGGATGTGGCTAATGAACACACAGTACTTCTGTGGTTTAAAAAGTTCCATTCTGGTAATTTTAATGTTAAAAATGAGCCATGTGGATGACTTGAGACCAAGGTGGATAATGATAAACTAAAAACTGTAGTGGAAGTGAATTCATGTCAATCTATTCATGAATTAACAACAAGA